CAGGTGGTGTCACTGGCGTCGCTGATCCTGTCAATCACGTGACACACCAACTGGGCGCAGTAAACACGATTGGCGGCCGCTGTAGCCAGTTCTGGGTGCGTAAGATGGGCCTATAAGCATATAGAACAAGACATTAAGACACAAAAGTTTCCTAGGTTCCTTGACTGTTGAGACACAATTCAATTCTTTTTTAAACATAACAAGTAGCTCAGTTGTTGTATAGAATGTAGCAGAAAACAGGGGGATTGCAGAGTCGACAAAAATGGGTTCAAATTCATGAGTGAACCCCCCGTTAGGCGAGGTTTCAGACACTTCAGGTTCCTGTGAAACTTTGATCAATTTTGCGAGCTACCTATTTCCTCTACTCCGTCCCGACAAGTGGGCTTTCCATTATAATTAAGGATTGAAGATAAAAGTTGCCGGCAAAGACTAAGGAGACTGGAGCGGCCATTTCTGGTTTATTAGCCATCGTCAGCCAGTCATACCCGACTCCAAGTGGTGCACCGGCCGAGGCTTGAACCTGCGACCGGTTGATCAGAGGAACAAGTCGTTTTTGATAGGGTGCAGGATGATGGATACCCTAGTTACCGGTGGTTTTCGTTACATATCATGAAGATTAGGGTTACTATTTGGGTTAAGATCAGGGTAAGAACTATGTAGAATTAGAATGGTAGGGGTTAGCTGGGGTAGAGCTCGTGGTAGGGTTAAATTCGGGAAGTGAGAGCGGATATTCCCTGAAATTTGGCAAAAGACCACCTGTAGAAAAAGGAGCGTCTATATGTCCGTTCCCGACCGTTTTCTTACACGCAAAATAAAAAGGACAGAGAGTGCTTAATCCAGTGGTCCATCAAAAACCCCACAGCTCCCAAGTTTATTGGCGGCGTAGTTTTCCAGAGAAATATTTCTTTTTCTAAATGCATATTAATTAGATAAACTGACTCCTTAAGTCGGCAGGCCCCAGTACTCAGGACAGACTAACCAAGGCATTTCTAATAACGAGTACCACTGGCAGTCTACACCGAACCCCAATGGGAATTTCAAAGGCACAGTTTTCTTGAACCGCTCTGCGGAAGAGAGCTTGAACAAACACAAAACTTCCGTTAAATTAGGGAGCGAGGGAGGAGATTCGTTGTAGAAATGTCTAAACTGGGGTAGGACACAGTAGGAAAATATTTTTTGTTCCCGTCGGTAAAGAAGCCTAGCTCACCTTTGAAGCCGCCAGGAGCATGTTGCATGCCTGTCGCAGACAGTACTGGGACAAATCCAGGTCCTCACGTTGGGTCTGATTGAGTAAGTCCTGCGTGCGGGGTTGGAGAAGGGCAAAGAGCTCGCTAAGGGCGTTGTTGATGGGGGTAAAAAGGGCTGTCAGTTCCTGGAAAGAGGACGAAAGGTAGTCGTGGACAGCGGGCTCGAAGATACGTTTTCGGATGAATGGACTGTGTCGTACCTTCGTAGTGAGAGGCACAGCAGACACCCAAGTAGGAGAATAAAATGCTTACTACAGTAGTCACCGGCTACTAAGCCCACCTCGGGCCCAGACCAAATTGGGCTTAATAAGCGGC